AGGAATATACTACACTCATATATTAGAAAACTTAAATTTTATCAAGATGTCAATTCTTTTCCAATTAAAGCAATCCTTACAAAGATCTCAACAGTTGTTTGTGTGTGTACAAGTGTGTGATGTGTCATGTGTATTTATGTGTCAGATGCTAGAAATGGAGATGTGTACCCTGTTGCAAACAGCCTGTCAGATTTTCTCTCTCAACTGCCAAGTCAGTTGACTCATGAATTATTCTCTAAGCAACTAACAATTTTAGTGGTAAAATGTTTAAAAAAGAAGAGGCGGGTATTTACTGCTTTTTAAAAAAATTTAAGACAGAGGAAGAAAGTCAAGGCAATTTACCAAAAATAATATTCACAATAGTTAATATTTTTAAGTGATTACTACATGCCACCCACTGGTCTAGACTCTTTTATATGCACTCATTCATTTAATTCTTCCAAAAATTCTTACTTCTTATGAAGTAAGAATTACTATTATTCCCATTCTACAGATGAGGACTCTGAGTCATAAAGTTAAATAATTGGCCCCAAATCATTTACTCCCAGTATAAGGGGCAGAACTGGGATCCGAATTGAGCAAGTTGGCTCCAGAGCCCACACTCACTGCCTTTACAGTAGGCACTTTAGAAAATGTAAGAAGGTGTATTTCACTCATTTAATCCATTGGCTATTCCTGTGTACAAGACTGAGAATTTAATTCGAAGATACTTATAGTAATCCCTCTAACACTCAAAAACTTACTAGACCCTCTCCCCATTTATCATGGAGTATCTTGTAATATCTGGTCTTCCACAGAACACCCAAGGTTGAGGAACCTTGGTAAATCAAAGCTTTCGATCTTGAAATCAAATACTTTGTTAAATATTTTCATAGACCTCCCCAGTTTCCTGAGTTGGAAGTTCCCTAAATCCTAAGAAGTGAATCCCTAATTTGGGCAGTAATGAAAAAATGAGCCAAGACTTTCAATGAATGAAAACAATTCAATGAATTCCCTTCAATCATTCAACTATTTGGGTTCAATAACATCTCTTAAGAATATAATTTTCAAATTTTCAAAACGCTACACAAAAATGATTGTGACCACATCCAGTAAGATGGGTGCGGCTCCATCCTCTAGTTCCTCCCCCAACGGACTGCCCCACAAGTTGACTTTGTGTCAACGGAATCGTTCTTTTCCTCCTTTCTTAGGCTTGGACAAATGAAGTGCTCTGACTCTTCTACCCATGGAAACAGGTATGACTGGTCACACAACCCTGTAGATTGTTCATTTGTAATGTACCCCACATGATGCTTTCTTTCACACGTGCACGGCTTTCACACTAGCTTGTGAAGTCTCTCCTCACACCTGGCCTCTGGCCCTCTCCTTGGTCTTTCTGCCTCCATTCTTTGTCCCTTTCAACATGTCACTCCCAGATTAAACCCAAGATGCATCAATCTATCATTCCCCATGTCCTGACCGTGATTCACACTGCACGTAATGTGCTTTCTCATCTTCATTGCTTAGTGTTTCTCAACATCACTGCCTAGCCAGAAAGTTCTACTTCTGACAAATGTGCCTTCTATGCCTTACTCTGGAACATTTGCAGGAATGACTTCCCTGTGCTAGGTCTACCTTTATCTCATTATGTCCTCCGTGGAGATTTCGCTAACCACTCAAGGACACAAGTACTGGAGCCACCACTCCATAACGACAGGATGTGTAACATACATCACTCTTCTGACCCATCCCGCCTGCTGCCTGAGATGATGTAAAGGCTACATGTTGAGTAAATGTTTTAGCCTGATATACATGTACATTTGAAATCTCTATAATATTATAGAAGGTCATCAGAAAAGGTAGAAAAGAGTAGAAAAAAGAAAATACAGTTTATTCTGTAAATGCAATACTGTTGGGGTCCTCCCGGTCAGCAACTGGGAAGCCTTCCTCTGAGAGTTTTATGTAAGCCTATTTATTTGCTAGTTGCCAAAAGCTGGGTAGAAGTTTTCCTGGTCCTTAAGCACTGAATTACAATGGAATTCCAGCAGAGTTACACATGACATCCCACTTGCATGCCCAGCAGGAACTGTAAGGTCACTGTAATAATGAATGGCCAAAGAATTAATAGGAGTGGAGCCGTATGAGCCTTCCTGTGTCGCAGCTGGGCAGAACAGTACTCTGTTCATGGCTGAAAATACGTCTCAGACATGGCCACCACAGCTGTGCTGAGCACAGCCGCCCCTCAAAAGCACTGCAGGGTTGGGGGCCTGTTTAAATCACTCTGCCCTCTTCTCTCATAAGACACATTTCCTTTACCATTATCAACTGCACAACAGCCACATTTATCTATTAGAGACGATCACACATGGAGACAGTTTTACCAAACAACATGGCCTTCTTTCCTCGGTCTTGCCCCCATACCACATCCTCTTATCCTCCTTGCTGCAGGACATCCCTCACTCAACGTTTTTCACTGATTTTTTCCAACCACTCAAGGCCCTGCATGATCTGCCTCATCTCCAAGTGTTTCCGCTACCATCCTCTATAGCACAGATAATCTAATCCCCTACATCTCCCTGTATCTAGCACAGTCTTGGGCTTTGAGCGTTGGCACAAGGGCTCCCACCTACTGAAGCCCCCATTTATCAATTCTATGCCCACTATCTCTTCCCATTCTCAGAGAAGTTGATAAGTTATAGCTTTTTCAGAATTTTCCTCTGTCTGTCTCTCTCCTACACCCCTTTCTGGACTGGTCAGACCTCCCCTAGCATCCTGTCTTACCTCTATCTAGAATCAATGCTACTGAATTCTAACTGTCTTATTATTGTTCTTCTCCCTCATTGGAAAATAGGTCCCTGGAGGAAAATGACATTACAGTGTAGTAGTGAGGAGGGCAGGTTCAAATCCAAGCTCCATGGCTTACTAGTTGTGCAACTTTGGGCTACATATTTAATCATCACTCTGTGCTTCAGTTTTCTCATCTGTAAAATGGGGATACTAACAATCCTTACTCCATGGGGTTGCTGGAATCATTTAATCCAATTCCTTTAAGTAACTCCTTAAGAAAGTTACTATGTGTAAAAGGCTTACAGCAGTGTCTGGCTGGGAGGTGACATCAGCTGATGTTGCTATTATCATTGTCATGGGTGCATCTCTCATTCGTAGACCAAGTCAGTGCCTGAAACTCAATAACTGATCATTGAATTATAATGCCCTCTTCATCACTTCAATATTTTCTATTGTCACTTACATTTTTGTTAAACAATTTTGAGGGTAAATTCAGGAATCATTTGTCAATTTATATGAAATCTAGAGGAATAGAGCAGCTAGGCATCAATACATGTATATGCAAAAATCCCGCTGCTCTTTAACTTTTCTTAAGACATTGATAATGGGAGGGGGCCGGCCCGGTGGCGTAGCGGTTAAGTTCACATGCTTCACTACGGCGGCCCGGGGTTCACAGTTCAGATCCTGGGCGCGGACCTATGCACCGCTCATCAAGCCATGCTGAGGTGGCGTCCCACATAGAGCAACTAGAATGATGTACAACTATGACATACAACTATCTACCAGGGCTTTGGGGAGAAAAAAGGAAAAAAGGAGGAAGATTGGCAACAGATGTTAGCTCAGGGCCAATCTTCCTCAAAACAAAAAAAAAAAAGAAAGAAAGAAACCTTTAAAAGAAAAAAGACATTGATAATGGGAATAATAATGTATAAATCAGTAAAAACTCACCAAATTTGTTTAAAGATGGTTTTAAACTATTTTTTTAAACAGAACAAACATGTTTACTATTCCAATAATAAATGAGTATTCAAGGGCGATTTCATTTGATAAAGAACTGAGAAAGGAGATCAGTATCCAAAGAAAGTTCCATATTAACTATTTATATTTCCTGATGTTAATTATCATTTATTGATTTCCCTTCACTTTAATAGACAAAACTTTCACTTGGCGTTTGGCACTAACTTTAATTTCTTCTTTACCTATGCAATTTCTAAACATTATCTTCTTTACTTAAAGAAACTAGATTGACCAGTAAGATAAGAAAAAAAATATTAATCATCTTTAGAAAGAACAACATAGCTGATACAATTCTGTATTTAAAGTGGGAAAGAAATAAGTTTACAATTCAAAGGGAAAAAATTAAAAATTGCTCTGCTCATTGGTATCAAACGAAGACCAACCTATGCAGAGTTCATGATGTATAAAACAAAACAAACAAACATGAATCATAGAAGAGTCTTTCTCAACTGGGACTCCATTAGAGAATTCGGCCTTTATGCTCTACGGTAGGGAGTAGCAAGCTATGGGTTGGATTTGAGTGAAATCTAGCCTGCCACCTGTTTTGGTAAATAAAGTTTCATTGGAACACATATCACACCCATTCATTTACATATCAACTATGACTGCTTTTACACTTAAACAACAGAGTTGAGTAGTTGTGACAGAGAACCCATAGCCCAGAAAGCTGAAAATATTTACTCTCTGGCCCTTTACAGGGAAAGTTTGTTGACTTCTGTCCTAAGGCATCCATGTATGTGATGAATTAACTTCACATCTTTGAATCTATGCTGCTACTAGTTATGTACCATTCTTTGGAGAACTGAGAAAAAAATTCACTCAAGGCACTTACTGTGTTCTGTGGTTCAGATGGAAAAGGCTCCTTTAGAGCATATTTGCTTCCCTTTTTATTTCTGAATAGGACACTTTAATTTTTTAATCTAGTTTATCACCCAATCTAGGGTATTTTTGAGAGTGAAAGGGAACACTATTAATAATTATGTTGGGACAATTGGTATAAACTGGGCCACATGGTCACCCCAGTTCTGAGGCATTGCCCAAGCGTGAAGCTGAAAAGCCCAAAGAACAAACCAATCAAAGTTAACAGGGTTTGCCCAATACTATTGCTTTTGTTTTTTTTCTTGCATTTTCTTATCCCACCCTCCCCACTCCCGCACTCTCACTGTTCTTGTGGATGGCAGCTCTATTTCAAACACCACAACATAAGTAGAACTTACTTTTTAATTCTTTCTCCAAAAGAAGCTATTTCCTCCAAGATGTTTTGAACAGTGGAAACAATATCCTGTACCATATAGATTCTTTCAATTAACCCCTTTTTCTCGGATTCCTAAGAAACACAAAAGCAAGATTTAACTCAGTTACTTCATTTGTATTGTCCTACTACAGAAATTATTATACCATGTTATAATAACACGGTTATTATGAACAGAGTGACTCCAAGAGATGAACTGCATTTTTTACAACTTAAATATTTATTGACTCCAAAAAATCCCTGCCCACCCATTCAGAAGCAACCACTCATATAGTGTGTGAGTCTCAGGCGCTACTTCAATATCATGAGGTGATGCACGGAAGCCCCACACAACCAAGAGCTTCATTTCTCTGTGGAGGCTGCTGCTTTTGTCAGAGAACTCTGCAGTTCCTTCCATTGCTGACCCTGATTTCCTCTTCATCTTCACAAGGTTATCTGCCAGCTCACCTTACCCCTCTCCTATCACAGTCCTTCAGAAATGCTTCCAGCAGGTAACAACATGGCATGTTGGATATCCAGACAATATGTTTCCAAGTACTGTGGCATCTTAGTCAAACTCTGCTGCATTTCTAGTCACATTTTAAACCCACTGCAGGCCTGAAGAACATTTCATTCATCCTTTGGCAATCACCTCAGAAACAGAGTAAGCAGCTGGAGACAGGCCACAAGGTCAACAGATAGTACACTGCTGGGGACTACATCCTACCCAGGGTACTCCCTGGGCAGATGCTCAACAATTGATTGATTTTTTCATTCATGGAATTGGAAGCAAAATCAAGTCCATCTTCCTCAGTCTCCAGTTCTTCATGTGAAATGAAATTCAGGTTTCTAAGAATATTATCCTCACTTCGCTTATAGGAAACCTTAAATGTATTTTACCATGTTAGATAGCTGCTGGTTATAAAAATAATTCAGTAATGACTCAACTGTTGGAGAAAAGAAGATTCCCTACAGAGTGGCACTTTTACACAATTTCTTATAGTCTGATACCATATTCTGGCTCACTTATGAACCCTATTGTAACTAGGATTTAGCTAATGTCATCTCAGCTCCTGCCTGGCTGGGTCTCTGTAGTCACTACATCTAATATATAAAACCTAAAACCTCAAATAACCAACAAAACCTTTTTTTTCTATCTAGAACTTTACTTGGGATCAAACTGTACTAAATTATCGAGCAAAAGCTTCTAAATTTAATAGACCATTTCTATAATAATCTTCTGTGCAGCAAAAGATAAAAAAAATATTTCATCCTCATCTTGTATTCTCTGCTCCATCAAACTGGACCCATGGATGGAGCAAAGGAGAACGCACCACCCCAGAGTGATTATCGGTAAAAGCACTCATATGGCAAAAATGTCAAAAAAAAGCTCAAATTTCCTTTCTTGCATCTGCCTCGTTTATGAAGCTACTTGGCTGAAACAGACCAAAGAAAGGAGCAGAGGTTAGAATGGTCCACTGCCACTCTGTCTTTATAAAGGGTACAGGGATGATCTGAATAACTTCTTACCACCTGCACTCCTTCATCCAACTGTTCTGTACAGAGGGAGAAGTCAGACTCATTGTTTCCTCTTGTAATGTCAAACTTGCAGGACATTTTTACTTTTTCACCCTAATTTTAAATTCTTTATTTCCTTTACTCTCTTACTAATTCTTCAAGCAGTTTGCATTAAAAATTCGATACGCTGCCAGAGCGACCCAATTCATGTGCAGTAATCCACCAACATCTATTAACGGGCACAATGGTGAAAACCCATCTCTGTCTGCCACATGAGTATTCATGTTTATAAAGGAGGATTTGAAAGCACCGGGGTATTTGACCCAAAGGGCAAAAGTGGTTTCCTCTTTTCAGCAGTGTAGAGTTTAGGTCAAAACAATTTCTTGGAAAATGACTCAAATTTCCATGTGGCTCAACTTCATAAAAATTTCCTGTTTCAGTTGACTGATTTTTTTTTTTCCTATGAAACACCCAAATGCTGAGGTTCTAGTTGTGAAGAAAGTACGAGTTAGTACACCAAAATAATAAACGATTTTCACAACATCCTTTTACTTTTTCATGAATTTGATGTTTTAGTTTAAGTAGTCAATATTCAAAAACTAGGCTAAAGAATCTCACTGTATCTAGAGTAACAAGATAATTTATTGACCATATCTGTACACTTTTAAGAGTAAAAGTAATTGAAATTATATAATTTTTGAAACAGTTATCAGCTGACAACTTGGTTTTATTATATTAGTGTATCTATAAAATTATTTCATTTTATTTTTATTTTCATAAGTGCTTCAAAATAAAAAATATATTTTATAAGCATTAAAACAAAAGAAATTTGTTTATATTGTCTGAATTTTTAAAATGATACATTAAGAATGATTATTCATACTACATATTCATATATTTAATTGGTTTCCTAGTTATTTCTATTTATAATCCCATGTCGGAGTTACTTATCAGAAGAATATACTTTTTAATGTCATCTTTTCATTTATAATTTTTCATAAAATTGTCCTCAGTCATCGCAGAGCTGTACTTAATGGTCATTAAAGCAATACCTTTAATTGACTCTACCAAAGACCATAATATTGATCACTCTCACAATATAAAATATTTATATAATACAAAACATTAAAATACAAAGTATTAAAAATTTACATAATATCAAATACTCTCTACAGACACTGAGGTACCTTGAAAACTCACAACAACAATGTGGCACATGGAGAATATTCTCAATTCTATTTTTTACATATTGAAATCGGTATATATTCCAGTCCAAATATTTTCAAAGGCACTATATTTTATATCCATTCATGTGAACTTTCTCTGTCAAGCATTTTTTCAAGACAAGACTTCAGAAAAGTTGTCTCTATGATTCTTTTGAATGTTTCACAGAATTTATGCTGAAAAATAAATGGCTTCTCAATTTCCCTCCCTTCCTGAGTAGAATATATATTTCTCTTATTAAAAATCAAAAGATTTTTTTTCCACAAATTGAGATAATCCAAAGTGTAACTTCAACATTTAAACATTGAATCACTCACAGCATTTGACCTCATAGTTTACTTTGTGTTGAATATTCCTGGCTTTTGTGAAGGAAAATAATGCAATGTCTTTTTTGCCAGCTCTTTTTTAATTTACTTCCATTCACTAAAAGCTTCCAAAGATGAAGTTACTTAGCACTTCAGTCATTGAAGATTTTGATTAAAAATTTCCAACTGATTAAGACCAAAATGCAACAAAATTTAAAAGATTTCTTTTTTCACAAGAGTGTGATAGCTTTGGGAAGTGCTGAAGTTGACTGAGAGCTCTTCAAAGGTTCCAACATTCCTAAAATCAGACTGATGATGTTCACCTGAGAGCAGGTTCCTTCATGATTAGTGGTAAATGTCGTATCTGTTCTCTGAATGGCTTCGACAGCCTTTGGGCAATATCTCTGTGCGTTTAGCAAGGCATGGTATCTTCTATGCTACAAGAAAATATTTATACTTTCATAGCTCAGCTGTTTCATTAATATCTCCCATAACCCTCCTGATCCACTCTGCTCTGCTCTGCTTGAACCAGTGGATCAACAGATAAGACCAGACTGCCTTACCGGACCCTGTGTTCTCAGCACCAACAACTGTGGTGGGTGCATCCTCAGTGCTGACACAGTGAGTGTTGATGGAGAAGTGAATGGATGCAAGGAAAGAGCAGGGTATCAGGCTTATAATGGTGTCAAAGGATTATTTACATCAACCTGGGAAAAAGTGCTTCGAGTTTGAGAGAAGATTCCAGGCCTCATAACTCTAACAGCATGACCTTTCGAAAGGTCTACCTCAAGCTCCTGGGCTTTCTTAAGCCTTTCCCTCAGAATGCCAGTCCATACTGTCTCTTGTCTTTGTTCTCTCAATTTGCATTACACCTCTATTCTTTTCATCATTCTAGTAGCAAATGTTCTTTTCACTCTCTGCACTGCAAAATTCATCTCTTTAAAAAGAATATACCACTGATTTCATGGGTCTTTTCTCTTGATCATATCCACCAATATACCAATGGACATGTTCCACAGCCTTTGGTATTAGCATTTCTATTTATAAAAAACCGAGGTCTGAAGAGGTTAAGTGACATGTCTATGTTCACATTTGTCTATGTTCACATACCATAAGTGGCACAGAATTCCAGTCCAGGACTATTAACTCCAGAGCAAGCGCCTTCAGCATTACAAGAAGCCCCTTACGTTTCTAGTGGACATTTCACAAGGTGGGCATTCAGCTCTTATTTGTTCTTTTTGCCATTGCTTCTTTGGTGTCTATGGGTCTCTGTTCTCATTCTCTACTTACTATATAATGTATAATTTTGAGAAACTTTGTTCAGTTACATATTCTATCTACTGTTCCTTTCCAGCATTATTTTGCCCAATATTCATGAGAATGTATGTTAAATTATGCCTTTTGAAAATATTTGAAGGAAAACAGTTCTTTCTATTCTGATTTATTTATTACTTTTCTTGCTAAACATTTTAACAAACTTTATTTAGTTATAATTTGCATAAAATACATACAATAATTTACATATAATACAATATATTCATTCTTATTTAAGAGCTGTAATACCCAGGGTTTAAATCAACAGATGAAAAGTTAGGGGAGAGAAACCCTAAGATGTACCAATTTCACAGGCCTACACATTTTGTTAATAACAGGCTATGGAGTTAGAGAGAAGTAAGTTCAACACTGGTTTTGGCATCTACTAGCTTTGTGATCATGGCAAGCACTTTACGCTTTCTGAGTCCCAATTTTGCATCTGGAAAAGGGAGCTCATAATCCTTACCCTGATGGGAGTGTTTAGAAAATTAAATATTATATCATATGGAAAGCACTTGGTACACTCCAGGTGCTTCATAAACTAAACATAAGTCCCCTCCCTTCAAGAATGCAAAGAGACAAAAGAACAAATAACCTCTTGTCTAGTTTAAAGAATACTGGGGTTAATTTAAGTTTCAAAAGCAATGATCTTCCAGGACAAGTCTACTCATGTTGCCCTGCATTGTACGAAAGATCATCTGGCAGTGCTATCTGCATCATGCTGGCTTTATTTAC